GCGCCAGTCCGGGCTGGGCCCTCGTCCCAGGCGGGGTTGGTCGGGGTGGGTCTCGTTTTGTCGCGTCTCGTCTCGGAAGGGGGGGGGCCGAGGGATGAGGGAGCTCGGGCAGGCTCTGCCCAGCCTTAGCCCAGCGGCAGCGGGAGAGAGGGGTGGAGTGTTTCCCGCCGGTAAGGGGGCGTCTGGCGGTGCTTGGCTGTGGGGAAAAGGGCGGTGTTCCTCGGCCGCGGGGCCCACCCGCTGCTGGCGTCGCCGCTTTCCACAGTGGGGCCGGACGGGCCTTCCCCCGCGCAGCCGCTGGCCTTGTGTGGCGTCTTCGGGGAAGGTCGGGATCAGCACGCGCGCTGTGGCTGCAGCCTGCCTCGTGTGTACGGGCGGGCTGCGGTGCTGGCGGCCGCCTCGCCGCGGGGGAGGCCTGTGGGCCGGGGCCGCGCTGACGGGAGTAGGGAGCGCTGCCGAGGAGGCGGGCTTCTCGTCCCTCTCGTGGGCCTTTGTCCCTCCTATTTTAAATTGCGTCTATATATAACTTCTCAAATACTCGGGTAGAAGAATGGCAGCGCCTTAAAATGGTTCAGGGCCTGTTCACGTAATAGCTGTAATAACAGGTAGTAGTAACAATTTGCCCTAGAGACCATCTGCTGTCTCGCTTACAGGTACCTGGGCTGGTTTTGGAAATATATAAAATCACTTTAACAGTGGCCTGTGTGGAAAGAAGTATTAGTCACACTAGGAACTAGTAACTGGGTGATTAATGACTTGCATTTAAACAAAATCGGATGAGTTAGCTTTGAAGTACGGGTCTGAAGGTGTGGCTGTGTTGGTTACTAAGCCGTGCTGGTGACCGGCCGCTGCTGACGGGAAGGCCCAGCCTCTCTTTTGCGTGGGCACTGTGCAATTGAGTGAGCAGCAGTGCCAGGGGGTAGTAAATTTGTGCTTTTTGGCAACGAATAGTTATTAAGTTGGTGTAACGTACAAGTGTGCCCTCCTTCCCTGCCAGCCTGGGTGCTTTAGCAGCTGTGGTGACCCAGTTCAAGAAGCTGATCTGGCCAAAAATTAATAGTTCATTTTTATATTTAGTTTTTTCTCTGTGAGCTTTCTTGTGTCACTAAAGGACCACTCCTGACTTACAGTAATTATTAGCTAACCTGCCTCTTTTTAAATTTTTTCCTTTTGTGGTAATTTAGTGTCTTCCTAATCTGTTTCAGTAGAGGATGGCAGTCTGAGGTGTGTTGGGTTTTGGGTTTTTTTCAGCCCCACTGAGTCTGGGAAAAAATATTTAGACACAGTTTTAGCATGACACTGTAAGGTTTCAAATAATATTTTATACAGACTGTTATTTCTTTATGTTTAAAGTGGACTGTGAATTGATCTGGAGAGATTTTCCATTGTTACATGGCTCTGCTTCTAGCACTTTATGTGCACAATGATACAAATATCATGATTATGAGGCCATAGTGTACTTTACTGACATGAATCTATATTTACTAGTAATGAGTAAATGAAAGGGTTGTGGAGGTCAACATTTGAAGAGATTATTGCTGACTATCTCCCCATATGCTGTCTGGGATGAGATTCCCAAACTGTCATGCATACCACTCATAAGTGGTACATAGCTAGCTATAAAACTAGGAGCTGCTGCTGGCAGCATTCAGCAGAAGGGAGGGGAGGAGGAAAGTTTAGAAATCCTTGCTTTAGCACACTTTTGACTGAAATTCCCAGATCCTCTACAGCAGAAATAGGAATAATAATACCAAATTAACATACAGGTGTGACTTGGGAAAGTGTTCTCTATTCAGGAACAGCATATGCTTAGTTTTCAACAACTAAAGTAAAATCTGTATTGGCACATTTTCCTGAATGATTTTTTTATATATATACTTCGGACATAAGTTATATAAAATAATTAATATTATTTTAATGATTTTTTTTTAACCTTGCTACTAGAAAACTAGTTTAATTCTTCCTGTACATTTAACAACAAACATCTGGAATTCATAAGCTTTAAAACCTCAGATGATTAGAGCTAGAAAAAAAAAATGTATATCCTAGATCCCAACTCATTTGTTTCTTTTATGATTAAGAAAATACCTAAAGATTAGATCAACCTACAGGAAGACATGTTTAGGAAAATTATAAGGCCATTATGTAGGTATGATGGATATAGGATCTACTTTGAGAGGTCAAAAGATTACAAACTAGTCCCTATAAAATAATTTTAAACTTTCAGAAACAGCTTTCTTGCAGAAATGTGGCATAATCCAAATAAGGAGTCATCAGTTATATTTAGTGTACTCCTGTGTTTATCATCTGTTCCTATGCACTTGCAAAATATCACATATATGTATGTACTGTACTAAACACTGAGACTACTGGTACTTAACTGAAGCAAGTAAAGATGTGGTCTGGTCTTCCAAAATTCTTGCAACCATTAGTCCCTTCTTACTTTAAAAAAAAAAAAAAGGTGGATATTGTTTTAGAGAATGCATCTCAAAAAATGGCAATAAATACAATTATGGATAGGTACATATATTAACATTGCTACCAGTCTAATTTAAAATGTAGAAATTTTTGTGGGTGCAGCCTTTGTGCTGATGAAACCTCTTCAGAGTCACAGAAGAAAATCTAAAAAAGCTGTGTTGTGGTAACTGCAATCAAAGTGTTTTTCATTTTCTCAGTGCTCTTAGAAATGAATGCATGAATGTAAAATCTAATATGTGTAAGTGAAAAACAAGACATCACCACCAGTCGCTGGAGTTCTTGTGCCAGTTCTACTTTTGCAGACATGCCAAAATGTGATCTTATTTATTGCATTGTCAAAAGTATCAACAGTCAACATGGAAAATGATTAAAATTTGCTCTAATTGTTCAGAGTAGATTAACAGAAGAGCTGAGCGAGGAGTCATCCCCTTCTGCTCTGCTCCTGTTTAACTGTCTTAAAATATTTTGAATAGTGATAATCTCTTCTATACACAATCTTTCTGCTGCAAAGTATTTTATACTTTAAAGTTCATTCCAAGTGGAAAGACAAAGTATTAAGGATTAAAACAAGCAGCTCACAGATAGGTTGGGGTTTTTTTAACCTTCTTTCTCCCTTCCTTTCCCCTCCCTCCTTCTACCCCAGATTAGAAACCCATTTGACTAGTTCTATCCTGTAATTACATCATAGGCCTGATTCTTCACTGTCATGTGTCTAGCCATTTACACAGTGGGTGTACCAAGCCTGTAGTCAGTGTCAGGCAACAGGAACAAATGTGACCGTGGAGCTATGAATAATGGTGTGGATGACAGTTGTTGCTAATAGTCTTAACCTTGGGAGATAGTGGAATGAGCCTTGACTAACAATTGTATACCTCTGTTTTTTCACTTGTTTTAAGATTCATTTGGCTTCTGAAGAGGCTATGTATAAGATGTCCTTAGACTAAATTTAGGCTAGTGCTAGATTACAGAGAGTGTTCAAGCTGGACTAAGATCTCGTGTGTAATTTCTTACTTCACAATACTTGATGATGAAGGTAAAGTAAAATGTTTTAAATTAGCAATACTATTACTGTTTTTGCTGTGGCACTGTCTATAGTCAGACTCATTGCTAGTAAACAGACAGCTTATCAGGCTACCTACAGAGGGTAGTAAAAACATTCCCATTCCAGATTAGCTGGTTGTAGTAGGGCAAATCCACAAATGCAGCAGTTCACAGCATCTATTCTGCCATGTAGTGGTTCAGTCTTAATGTTGGAAAAAGGCTAGGAATAACACCGTGTGGATGTTACCTTTAATTGCTGCTGTCGAATTTGCCTATTTAAGATGATCCCATCTGTTTGCTTTAGCTTAGAGGATATTGGCCATTATAGAAATGGTAGTGGCTGAGGGGAGGGGTGCACCCTCTGGCCTGTAACCTCTGGCAAAGAGGCAGCATGCACAACTTGATGTGGTGCTGTCAGACTGTCAACATACAAACCAAGAACCAGTCGTGTCCCAGTGTGATCCTTAAAAAACGTGCTTGTTGACTTCAGCAGGTTTTCTGTTGGGTACTTGAGGTTGAACAGGTAATCTATAAATGATTCTGTATGGTTGTTACAGCCTAAGGATGACTGGTGAAATGGAATTATTGATATTCCAGCCTCTTAAACTTACAATATTTTATTAAATATACCTCTTTATGAGTAATGGTAAAACCAGTAAAACTGTAAAAGTTAAGAAAGTGTATTTTTAAATAGGTATTATCAAACGAGTGGTTGTCTGAATTACTGATCTTTGCCATTATTACTGAAACGCATGTATGTAGTTTCTGCAAGCTAGGAGTTTTCTCAGGGCATGATTTTGGAGGGGAGTATGTTCTTCCTGTTTCAGAATGATAAAGAAGTACAAGAACAGTTACATAATTATTGTCTTTCAAATTCTATTAATTTGTAATCAGAAAGTGCTGAGGCATTTAAAAGGCAAGAAAACAGTTTACCAACTTTACAGATTCTAGTAA